ATATCTGTGAGTGTCTAAACTAGCTAACAGTGGTTCACTTGGTTTGCGTAGAGAATTCTCTAATCCAACCCTATTAGTTGGAGAGGGGAACAAAACATTTTTTATAAAAGTGTGGAAATCTCTCTTTGGCAGAAGCGTTTTAGAATTATGAGGTTGACAACAATATGTAACGGGCTAAAACGGACAATATCTACTACTGGTGAGCTTAGGTTGTTACAAACGGTATCAGAGTTAGACGAATAGGCGGTGTGCCAGCGTTTCGCTGAGCCCACATTGATTGGAGAGGAGAAAGTATTCCTTATAAGAGTATGGAAATTCCACCGTTAGCACATTTTAATAAGGGTATGGAAATCTTAGGTAACGGTGGACTTGGACCGGCACATATTAAATCTTAGGTAAATGACCATCATGTCTTCAACTCGTTTCATCTAAAGTCTTTTATTATTTACATGGTTCTTAGTGACCACTAAGCCAATCTACTATGGTTTATCTCTCCCTTCAACCCAAACTTAATTTCTTGAAAAGCGAATGGCCAAGATGGTGTGAAAGATTTTGTCAATATGTACTTCTAAACAAAAAGTACCAAATTGAAACTAACAAAGAATAACTTTATAATTTTCTTCTGCATGATTACGTAATAAAGAAGCTAGAAGTTAGACATGATATATGACCGAAAGGGGATTCTGATGTTATTTTCATGATCACACAGGAAGGGATTGTTGAGAAAGCAAGTGGAGAAAAGTGAGTTTTACCCAATTCAGCTGCAGAATTGCAAATTTCTTCGGCAATGCGATCGTGCAATGACACCCCAAGTTGATGTTGGGGAAGGAAATGTTTCCTATTTTCTTCACGACTCCATAACTCCATTCGGCTGCTGGCTATCTGCAGAACCGAAAGCGCTTTCTGTCCATATGATCCTATGGCAGACTCTCCACACAGCATCAATGCATCGGCATACTGTCGGACAGCTTCAGAAACATCTGCAACCTATTGAACACGAAGACTGATCATCATTCTAGCCTTCAACACAATATTCAATCCACCGTACCAGAGAGCACCAGAAATTTCAACTCGGAAATACGTTTTTGAATAACTCATATAAGGTATCAATTACTATAACAGTCCAAGTCCACCGCTAGTAGATATGGTCCATTTTGGTCCTTTACGTATCGTAGTCAGCCTCACAATTTTTAAACATGTCTACTAGGGAGAGGTTTCCACACTCTTATAAAGAATGTCTCGTTTCCCTCTCCAACCGATCTGGGATCTCACAATCCACTCCCCTTGGGGGCTCAACGTCCTCGCTGACACACCGCCTGATGTTTGGCTCTATACCACTTGTAACATCTCAAGCCCACTACTAGTAGCTATTGTCCGCTTTGACCCATTATGTATCAGCATCAGCCTCAAGGTTTTAAAATGCGTCTGATAGAGAGAGGTTTCCACACCCTTATAAGGAGTGTTTCGTTCTCCTCTCCTCTCCAACTAACGTGGGATCTCACCGTTACAAAAGAATGATAGTTTGATCCCTCTACCTGAAGTTGTTGAAAAAAACAAACTAACTAAAAATCTCGTACCTCAGCACGTGTTGGAGTAGGATATTCAACCATCGACTCTAAAAGTTGAGAAGCTACGATCACTGGTTTGTTCAGCTCCCTACAGACACTAGTTATTTCTTCTTGGACTGCTGGTATCTGCTCGAGAGGAATTTCAACCCCAAGATCCCCTCGAGCCACCATGATTCCATCAGAAGCCTCTATGATTTCTTCTAGATTTTGAAGGGACTCCAAGCTTTCAATCTTGGCCAATACTCTCACAGATCTGTGCATGAAAACATTTTTTTTATCCTTAACTACTAAAATGGGTTTGGAAATTACACAATATCAGTTTCAATAAAGAAGATTTCCAGACAATTTATGAATTGCGGCTAAGAAACCAGTGCTGATGAAAATTCAATTGAAAGGGACATCGGGATATATCGTTCATGCCTAGTAGTGATATTCTAACCTAACTCATGGTAATATGTTGACTTCTTGAATCGATGCTTACTTTGCTGATTTTGCTGATAGGTAGCTCTTTAGATGCTTGACAGAATCTGCACTGTTCACAAAGGAAAGAGCAATGAAGTCGACGCCTTCCGAAATTCCAAATTCAATGTCGGACCAATCCTATAAAACAGTAAACCAAATAGTATATAATACACTGTGAAAAACAGAGTTGAAAAGCAGAGAACTGGCATCATCCAAGAAGAATACGTAATTCATTAAATTCTTCTCTCTATTTTTTTTTATTATTATTTTTTACATTTTGACACATTAATGAGAACGTCAACCTTCTCGAGAGAGCAAAATTGCAGAAAAGTGGATAAAATTTCCTCTGCACATAGATGTTGATATACAGGGATAAAACTTGTGATGCTGACAACCCAAGAAAATAAATTTAAAAAATGATCATAAAATGTCGTCCACAATATCATTCAGAAACAAAATCTTATAATGTTGACAACCACTATGAGAAGACAAATTTTTAATGATGAAAACATTTTTGTCACCATACCATATTCAGTAAAACCTTGTCCTGTTGACAACCCAAGAGTATAGAAAAATTTTCAACCGTAAAAACTTGTGAGGTTCAAAGATCCCACATCGATTGGAGAGGGGAACGAATGCCAGCGAGGACGCTGGCCCGAAGAGGGTGGATTGTGAGATTCCATATCGGAGAGGAGAAGCATTCTTTACAAAGGTGTGGAACCCTCTTCCTAACCGACACGTTTTAAAAATTTTGAGGGGAGCTCGAAAAGGGAAATTCCAAACGTACAATATCTGCTTCATCACAAGTAAATGATTCAGAATGAATATTGATATGCATCAGACACTTTCCTACCTTACTTGACAGCGTGGGAGACTCATGTTTTCTCACAACAAGCCTCCCATCCCTCCAAAAGCTGCATTTTGCTCGAGGAAGAAACAAACCAGGGTCTGTGCACTTGCAGCTTAAATCATTCCCAATCTTTTCCATAACTTCAAAGGATGCCATTCCCCCATCAATCACAATTGAATCACCCACTTGGATACCTGTAGAATTCAAACTCATATCCTATTTAACTTGTGGGATTCAAATATTTCTTCTAATCACAATTCAGAAGACAGAGAAAACAAAAAAAAAAAAAAAAAAAAAAAAAAAAAAAAAAAAAAAAAAAAAAAAAAAAAAAAAAAAGAAAGATTCAAAGTGCAGCACCTTCAGAAAAACCTCCATAGCTCGCTTGAACAGTAAATGGACGAGAGCCCTCGAATTTCTCAGCAGTAAACAACCAATTTGAACCATCCTGAACAATGATGGCCAGAGAATTTAAACCCCGTTTTTCTTAAATTACAATGGAAAATAGTAACACTGGATCATAAGTCTCTGTTGATTTGATTACCACTACGATTACAGCAAAAATAACACAGATATAAAAATCTACCTCTACTTTGACGGAGGAAGGAGCTCCATGATCAACAACATGAATCTGACTTCCTTCAGTATCAATCATCACCGAAATACAAAATCCTTTTTCATTCAACTTCTTGATCTTCCTAATCACGCCATAGTGCCACTCCTTCGTGTTGTGACACATATTCAATCTCGCAATGTTCATACCTTCCAAAGCCAACTTCTCCAAATCCTCAGTCGCACAACACGCAGGCCCAATCGTACAAACAAACTTCGTCTTCCTCATCCCCAAAAACCCTTTCTCCTTCAACTCCCTCTCCGCCACAACATCAAGCCCTAATGTCGCCTCTAAACCGTCCAATCGTTTCAACCTCTCATCATCCTCCAAATCCACCTGCATTGTCGCCTTAACTCCAGTTACAACTCTCCCCTTCATCCTACCCCGATCGCACCAAACTGTTCGACCGATAACCGACAAACGAGAATCCGAACGTTTCACATCTAACACAGAGGTTTTAGCAACGAAATTGCAACGAGCACGAATCATCATAGCACTCACCTCCGCCATTGACGAAAAGCTTCACTATCTTCGGCCTTCTTCTTCCGCAAAGACCTTGGATCGCTTTTGAATAGTGTTGTCGATCGAGTTTGAAACAAGAGTAACAAACAATGGTGGATTTTAACAGAAGAAGAAGAATATTCAAAGAGAAGATTATTGGGCAGAACCCTAGTTATCGAGAATGGCGAAGACTTTTGTCGGGCTATCAAGATTTAAGTTAAGGAATGAAATGTATATTTAATTGGAAATTACCGGTCAACTAACTCTCCCGGCGCTCGATCGTGGTTCAGGTTCAACCTGCAACTCTCACGTGACCGCTAGCCACTGTTTCCTGCAGTGTCCTCTGCCGCCGTACCTTTTTCTGATTAAATTACAAATTTACCCTTCTCAGTTAGAATTTGATGTTTGTGATTTAATATAACACTTTTATCCATTTATAATAACTAAATTTTAAATTTTAAAATTTATAGAAATTAAAAATTAAATATTTCAACTTTGAATGATAATTTTGTATAGTTTTATTTGGGGTAACAATATGTATTAAAAATAAAATATTTTTTTGCTTTAAGTCCCGATCCAATTCAAGTTGGATACAGGTTCAATGGGTAAATGATCAAGTCAACTCGAACAAACTCGATTACAGTAGAGAGAGAGGAGAAAAGGAGTTGAAACCAAACCCAATCTGATTTCTCCTTCTTCCTCGAGCAACCCACATTCTTTTCCCTCGACCAGGCTCGAGCCCAACCTAATTTCTCCTCCTCGACAGTGTTTTGAGCGTCATACAAGTGTACTAAGCATACTCTTCCTCGGTCTAGGGATGCGTGTTGTGTGGAGGAAGAAGAACTCGAAGGCTGAACATTTAACGTTGAAGTGAAGCCCTAAGAACCGAAGATGTATTGATATTTGATGTGAAGATGTAGGAAAAATCGAAAACTAAAAAAAGAACGAATAAGTTGAGTTGTTGCTAAGCATTGAAGTACCAAGACTGAGAAGGCGAGAAAGCAATTGAAGAAAGATAACACGAACACTATGTCTATCTCCCTTCATCAACTAGTATCACATTTTGTTCGGTACACATAAGCCTGCTCTTAATGTGCTATTTTTCTAATAAACTGGCTATTGATCGTCATTTTTCTAATTCTACTAGGAACTCATTTTATTCGATACACACATAAATTGGATATTGATGTGTCATCTTTCTAATTCTACTTGGACGTCGTTTATCTAATCCTACTAGAGCTCATTTCATTTCCACACACATAAAATGCCTACTAACATGTGAGCTCATTTCATTAAGCACACGTAAAACGACTATCGATGTGCTGTCTTTCTAATTCTACTCGAGCGTCTTACTGGAGTCACAATCTCTTCCTCTTCGTTCCCCTGTAAAAGATTGAAGAAAATGGTTATGAAATAGTTCTAATTTTTTTATTTGTTATTTTAATTTGTTTTCATTGTTTTTTCAAAAAAAAAATCTGAAAATAAAGTATATATTTTTGAATGAAAATAACTAATCTTAAAAAAAACAAAATTTTAACGCTAAAAATATTTTTATTTCTGGGTTTTTATTTATTTTTAAAATTTAACACATATATATATATAATTTAACATTTTTACAAATCAAATTTAATTTAAAATCAGGAGTAAAAATGAATAAAAGCTGTTTAAAATAATTTAAAGGGCTTTAGAAAGTGTTTTTTAAGTGAAAAAAACGAAATTATATAATATTTGAAAATAGAGATACTCACATGCTTGATTGGGATCTTCTCATAAGTTGTGAAGCTCCCATACGATGGAGAAGCCGACGAAGTGGATACTGAAAATTCATCCAAAGAAGAAGAAGCCATTGGAGTTCTTGAATTCTTCCTCGTCTTCCTCCCATGGCTATGGTTTTGAGCTTCTATCAACAATTTCTTTGCTGTTTCTGTTTCGTCTTCTTCTTTCATGCTGCTGTATTGCAGGAAACTGCTCGTTTCAGACGAGCAAAAACCTTTTCTGGCGATCTCCTCGCGATCATCATCACCATTAAATGCTTCTTCTACTTCTTTCATGCTGCTGTATTGCAGGAAACTGCTCGTTTCAGAAGAGAACAATCCTTTTCTGGCGATATCCTCACGATCATCGTCATTAATCGCTTCTTCTTCTTCTGGTACCGCCGGACTCTGGTATGTCTTCTTCTCTTTCAGCAATGGCGGTTCCTCTTGCGCTTCAGCAATGGCCGCCATGGATGATCTTTTTGAGCCTGACTTTCTCGCATAAATCAGTCCTGCAGGTATGATGATTATAGATAAACCTAGCAGTATTGCAGATGCTATAACTGCCGTATTCTGTGAGAAATCTCTTGAGATTTTGTTATTTGTTTCAGTTCCGACGATGTTGCTGCCATTTTCATCTTCAGCTTCAGATTGAGGTGCAGAAGGAGGAGGAGAAACTGGAGGTGATTGATGTTGGATTTCTGCGTTGCTTTGTTGAATTGAATCGTTCTGTTGTTCTTCCTTTGTTTCACCTCCTGTTGCAGCTTCTTGTTCAATTTGATCGTGAATAAAATCTGGTGTTGAGGAATCTTCGTAATTCTCTTCAGTTTGCTTCTCCTGGATTTTGTCTTCTTCATTAAGTATATCAGAAGCTGATTTTGTAGAGGTCTCTTCAATAATCTCTTGCAATGATCCTTCTTCATTCTCTTGCAATGGTTCTTCAGACGCTGATTTTGCTGAAGCCTGGCCGTTCTCTTCTTCGCCGTCTTTTGTCTTGCAATGGTTCTTCAGACGCTGATTTTGCTGAAGCCTGGCCGTTCTCTTCTTCGCCGTCTTTTGGATCATTTGCGTTGGCTTCAATCTCTTGAAACGATTCTTCTTCATTCTGAACTTCTCCTTCAACATGTTCGATGACAATTTTTCTCTCCTTCATGGCTTCAATCTCTTCCGATAATAGTTCTACTTCTTCATTCTGATCTCCTCTCACAATAGGTTCTTCAACAATGTCAATTTCTCCCTCCTTCCTCGCTTCTTCCATTACGTTCAGATCATTGTCTTCTTCATTAAGTATATCAGAAGCTGATTTTGTAGAGGTCTCTTCAATAATCTCTTGCAATGATCCTTCTTCAGTCTCTTGCAATGGTTCTTCAGAAGCTGATTTTGCTGAAGCCTGGCCGTTCTCTTCTTCGCCGTCTTTTGGATCATTTGCGTTGGCTTCAATCTCTTGAAACGATTCTTCTTCATTCTGAACTTCTCCTTTAACATGTTCGATGACAATTTTTCTCTCCTTCATGGCTTCAATCTCTTCCGATAATAGTTCTACTTCTTCATTCTGATCTCCTCTCACAATAGGTTCTTCAACAATGTCAATTTCTCCCTCCTTCCTCGCTTCTTCCATTACGTTCAGATCATTGTCTTCTTCATTAAGTATATCAGAAGCTGATTTTGTAGAGGTCTCTTCAATAATCTCTTGCAATGATCCTTCTTCAGTCTCTTGCAATGGTTCTTCAGAAGCTGATTTTGCTGAAGCCTGGCCGTTCTCTTCTTCGCCGTCTTTTGGATCATTTGCGTTGGCTTCAATCTCTTGAAACGATTCTTCTTCATTCTGAACTTCTCCTTTAACATGTTCGATGACAATTTCTCTCTCCTTCATGGCTTCAATCTCTTCCGATAATAGTTCTACTTCTTCATTCTGATCTCCTCTCACAATAGGTTCTTCAACAATGTCAATTTCTCCCTCCTTCCTCGCTTCTTCCATTACGTTCAGATCATTTTCTTCTTCCCACGAGGTTTGATGAGATAATACAAGGCACTGCAATTCCGAATTGACATCTTTGTGTAAGAATCCAGTTTGGTTAAGATAAATCAATGGCCGCCGCCCTCCGATGTTGAAAACCATATCAGAAATGTAAGATCTGGAATTAGCATGCCAAACCTCAAATTTCCGCATCAGCACATTGAAATTCGTTTTTGCAAACTCGAAAACTTCTGTTGAATCCTCCATTGGTAACAACAAGCTTGCTCTTTCGAGATCATGAACATTAACAACACTAATCGAAAAGCAAGCAGTCAACAGAATCAAAAGCAGAGAACTGATCTTGAATATCCTGGAAAAATGCAGCTTAGATGAAGTCTTAGCTTCAACGGGGCTTTGTTCAGAAACGTTAACAATCATTTCTTCCTCCTCCTCCTCTTCTTCTCTTTCTTCTTCTTTCATATGCGATTCATTGGAAGAAACTTCATCAGATTTCATCTGTGGATCTTCCGAGTCAGTTCCCTCAGTGAATTCAGATTCAGAGGAAAAGAGCTCCTCAAGTTTGCCGTCTAGTTCGAGTTGATTGATTCTTCTTGGTTTGTAATGGAGGAACTGTGGCCTTGGGGATAGGTAATTGGTTTTGGGATCATAAGGACGCGGCATTAATGGATCAGCATCGAGCGGTGCTATTTCCATTGAAGAAGAAACAAGACTGTCCTTAAAACTTGAGTTGAGACCAACAGTATCCAATTCTTCAGCAGAAGAATTCTTAGCCGGAGACTCTGAATCGTTGATTGAGTCAGAGCTTACCACGACATCAGCAAATTCCACGGTCTCTGAAGCTTTGGGAGGTAATGCAGCAATGGCAGAATTTTCAAGCTTCGCGTCGGTTTCAACTGCCATTGTTACCACCTCAGAATTTGAATGCGAATCAGAAATGACATCCAAACCACCGGATTTCACTGTTTTAGAAGCTCTGAGAGGTGCTGCTGCAATGGTGGATTTTGAAATCGGGGCGATTTCAGACTTCGTATCGGTTTCAACTGCCACTGGTGCTACTTCTGGATCGTGTCGGTATGTGGATTCTGAACCAGTAATGACCTCAAAACCACCTAATTTCACAGTTTTGGATTTCTTGGGATTTGAAATCGGAGCAATTTCCTGATTCGTATCGGATTCAAGTGCCGCTGATGCCTCTGGATTTGGATTCACCGAGTTGAGTGAAGAGCTTTTCAAGCCGGAAAATGAAAGAGACGACCGAACTAGCTCGTTCCGATCACCCAGAATTTTCTTTTTCGGAGAGACTGAAATCTTGGAGGCGGCAGAGATCGTCGGAGACATGAAGTTCTTCGTCGATTTTCCGGCCGCCGGCGAACGGATTCGAACAGGTTTTGGACTCTGATTTTTCCCATTTTCTTTCTCCTCATTGTCACGAGAATTAAATAAATTTTCCCTGCTGGTAGAATTCCTTCGTGGATAATCTGAAAAACCATTCAAAGAAACATTCAGAAAGGAAGTAATTTAAGATTTAGAAGGAACAGAACGGAAAATAATCAGCGGAAGAAACAAAATAGCCATCGAAATCGTAGCAAAGAAATGAAAGAAGCTAATAAGTAGACCTTTTGTTTACACTTAAATTTTCTCTGCTACTTTCTCGACAACCAAACAGATTAGAACCACTCAAAAACACTCCCAATGTTCAAAATCATCCCCGGAAGGAAAACAATCGGTGGAAGAATCAAAATAACCATCAAAATCAGAGCGAAAATAAAAGCTAAGATGCTAATTACTAGAAGAGATTCTTTCAATTTTGTACCCCAAACAAATTTTCTCTGCCATTTTCTCGGCAAAAAAAAAAAAAAAAAAGAACAGAGACTATTCGACTTGTAAACCCTAGAAACTTTTCTCTGTTACTGTCTCAGCAACTAAAAAGATTCAAACCCATCTAAAACTCAGCAATGAATCAGGTAAAGAAACTCAAACAAACCAGAGGGACTGTTCATCGGAGTGTTAAAGTTCAAGCTCCTCTGTTCGCTGGAGAAGCTCCGGCGGGTAGGGTTAACAATTTCGGAATTTCTGGAATTAGGGCTTGTTCTTCCGGCGACCATCGACGGAGAAGACGACCTGTGCGACGGCGGCGCCATGGAAAAGATTGGGTGAAGATTTTGAAAAGATGGGAGAGAGAAATCTCGAAATCTGAGAGATTCAAATGTGCATCGTGGATGGAAAGTCGGCGAAAATATTTAAGGGGGGGGGGGCGGGGGAGGATTTTGGTGTTCGTAACGGCTAGTTTTCAGAGTTACTGAAGGATAGGTTCTGGGACATTTAAAATGCAAGGGTTTTCGATTGGACCGTTGGAGTTGTGAAGAATAAGTAATCGTGCGAATGTGGAAAGTGAAAGTGAAAAGTTTAGAGCAGTTGGATCGATTTCCAAATGATAATTATAAATATGCATATATTTTAACTGGTTCTTCTGGTTGGATGAAAGTCTCACCTCGACTTATTCAGAGAATGATCATGAGTATATAATCAAACAATACTATCTCTATTGAATTAAAGTCTTTTGGGAAAGCTCAAAACAAAGTTAGGAGAGTTTATGTGGATCATATCGTACCATTATAAAGAGTACTATTCATCTAATATATAAACTATGTTAATATATTTTGGTGGAGAGTAACGAAATGAAGTGTTGTGATGCAAGCAAGTGTATGGTAAACTTTAATCTTTATGGATAGGCTAGTTGATATCTTAAAATTCTATTGAATTTTTTTAATTATACAAGTGAGTGGAAGTATCGGTGTTGCATGTGTATATTTGAGTAGGCAGCCACGACTCTCGTATCTGTGAACTTTGCCTCAACCCCTTTTATTTGATAATTTTTATGAAGGTGTCGTGTGACTAAATTACTATGTTATGCGCTAATCGTGTTATGTTTATTTATCTAAGTCGTATTTTTGTATTTTGACCTTCTCGACTTTATATCTTTATCTATTAATTCATTACTCTAAATATTATTACAATATGTTTTCTTTTTTGTCGGTTGTAATTAATGATTTGATCGGTCAAAACAGTTAACTTATTTGCCTACTAAACCAAAATTCACTCAAAAGTTTTTGAACAAATTTTCACTCTACACAAACTCTAAACCGTCATTTTATTTCCAAACATCAAAATATAGTTTCTTAATCTAGACGTCACATTACCTAAAGGGGTTTAATTTTCAGTGTTTTAATTTTGAAATCGAACATAGACAACCCCTCGATGCAAAATTACAAATTCTCGACCTTATCATAAAATTGAAGCAAAAATTTTCAAACTTAGAATAACCGTTATTAATTAATTTTCAACCTATATATTATTTTATTTCATCCATATATAGAATATAAATAAATGCAATTAAAATGAGTATAAAATGTAAGTCATTAACCTTCAAACTCATTGACCAAATATTAAAAATTTTACTTTATAAAAAATATATCTATTATAATTAATATTTAAAAAGTGTATAAATTTCAGGTATTGCATATAAAATATTATATTTAACAAATATAATTTCAAATTTAAAGTTCATTTTAACCTATGATATGCTAAAAACTCATACTATTTTAATTTTTATAGTCCATAAATCTTAAAATTAGTATTTATCCTTGGGTAAAAATAATTTTTATTATTGAATATGGTAAATAGTTAAAATGATTTTCACTAAAAAAAAAAAAGGAAAGAAATAAAGGGTGAAAAAAAAGCGCCAAATTTATTTCACAGATCATCCCATCCACTCGGCCGTCTTCATCCACACGCAGAGTCTTCTTGTTCACCTTCCTATGCGAGCGCTCCGTTTCCAGAATCCTTAAACCCTTCCGCCTAACTTCGCCGCCTCCATCGATCTTCCATTGAACCACCTTCAAACCTTCTGCCATGTCCCGCTCTATCCTCCGAGCTCTCCCTTTCTCCAACCTTCGCCACAAGCCTCCTCAATTTCTCCCTATCTTCCGCCGCATTTCCCATCTCCGCCTCGCGAAATCCATTTCCAGAACTCTGAGACCTATTTCCTCACTCTCTGTTTCCGCCACTCATCCGCCTTCCTCCGCCACCGAAACGCTCGTTTCCAGTTCGAATTCTCCGTCGCCTCTTAAGGATTCTCTTCAGTGGATCAATCGTACTGCGTTCTGTGGTGAATTGTCGGCTGGCGATGTTGGGAAGCGGGTTCGGCTTTGTGGTTGGGTTGCACTACATAGGGTTCATGGTGGTTTGACTTTTCTCAATCTTAGAGACCACAGTGGTATCGTACAGGTTTGTTACTTCTGTTTGAATTTTTGTGGTTAGCTTGAAATTGAAGAAACTTCGTTGTTGAGTGTTGATTTTTACTGCTTGAATTAGGTGACTACGCTACCTAACGAGTTTCCTGATGCTCATTCGGTTATTAACGACTTGCGGCTCGAGTATGTTGTTGCTATAGAAGGCATTGTACGGTCTCGACCTGGCGATTCGATTAATGTGAAAATGAAAACTGGCTTGATAGAGGTATTTATGAATTTCGATTTCATTTTACTCCTCATTTTGCCAGGCATTGGGTTGGAAAGATTTTCAGATTTCTCGCTTATTGCATTATGCTCATGCCTGCTTCCCACGGCCCCTTTAGCCAGCTCCTGAATGAACCAGAATTTTAAGTTATTAAGTCCTCAATCTCGGATTCGAACCTAGTATCTGGGAGGAATTTCCAAACAGCAAAATAAATATGTTAATTCATAGTGGCAATAATCCTGGGAGTTCTCGATCATGTTTGTTAAAACTCGAGATAGGCTAGTCGTGGTATAATTTTTTTAGTTCTTTTGGGATATCCTGGTGCTTCCAAATAAATTCTGATTCTAGAGTGGTACACCTGCGTGGTGTTTATCTCAACTCAAAGGCAAGAATTCTAAGCTTGTAGCAATTAATCCAATTTTTAAAGCTTTAACGGGGTGAAACTCCATGGTTTTTGAAGAAGGGGCGAGAGATTGGGTTCGAGCCTGTGATTTAGTTGACTTTATGGGCTCTTCATGGATTATTCTCACTACTTCATTTTGTATTATAATGGTTTCGTGATCAATTTGAATTAAAGTGACTTTTTGTAAGTTCCCATGGTTGCCTTTCTTGTAGCTTCTCAATTATTGGATGAAAAGTAACGTGTATTACTAAGTGAAGGGATATGGGTTGTAGGGTAGTTGATGCCGATTGAAGTAGTATGGAGTTTGAAACTTTTTAACTTTGTTATCTTAGTTCTCTTCTCTAGGACTATGTAAGTTTCCTAGGACTCAACTATCATTCTATTTTTTCAGTTTTTGTTATCCTGATAATTTCTTGATATATTATAGGTTGCTGCAGAGCATGTTCAAATCTTAAATTCTGTTGGATCAAAGTTACCTTTTTTAGTTACAATTGCTGATGATGCAAAGGATTCTGCTAAAGAGGAAATTCGATTGAGGTTGTTATTTCTTTCTATCATTTCAGGCCATTCTAATTTATATTTGTTCACTCAAACCAGATGCACAGTTTGATCCCATATTCTACGTGCTTAATTGAATCAAATGTCTGAAACCATTTGATCATCATCCTTCTTTTTTGGGTTGGGGGGAGTGAGTAGGCGCACAGAAAAATTTCAACTTCCTTTCCTTCTTCGATCTTTCTTTAGACTTTCATTGAAGGGTGAATGCCGTGAAATAAGTCCTCTCCCTTATCTAAGATGCTCATGGGTTTGAGATGATCGCATTTTTTATTTTCTCGGAACCAATTGCTATCTGGTTTTAGATTATAAGGAGTTGAGTATTGATAGGTACCGATATCTTGATCTTCGGAGGAAGCAAATGAATTCGAACATAATGCTTCGGCATAAAGTGGTGAAACTCATTCGAAGATATTTGGAGGATGCACATGACTTTGTGGAGGTACTGCCCTGTTTATAACTTTTTAACTGACCGTTGACCCTTTTTTTTGAAAATTTCTTGAATCATTCTCTGCATTAGAACTTCACATTGTACTAAATAAATGGTTATAAATTGAATTTGTTCTAGCCTTATTTCAACTTTGAACTTTTGTTGGTTATAAGGAAGATTGAGACGCCAATACTTTCTAGATCTACTCCAGAAGGTGCTCGAGATTATTTGGTGCCGTCTAGAGTTCAGGTAGCCTACAAATCCTCAACTTATGTTGATTTTAATTCTCTCAAGGCAGGTTATTTTGGTAACTAACTGGTATTTTTCGATCCAGAAACTTAAAATAAATTTCTTAAGATATCTGAATGTGATGCCATTTTCAATTTCTAGATCTATTCTCAGTTGCCCTTTTTGAATGGTATACCTTGTTAATTCATATCCATATGTAAGTGCTAAGCATCTTATAAGACATAATTTTTTTTAATTCCATTTTAAGATATCTTGCGCTAATGGTTTATAAACTGAAATGGAAGTGCTAAGATATAGTTCAGGTGCACATTTTTTATGTTCTGGTCTCACAGAATGACATCATCACCATCTTCTTCTTCTTAATGGTTTAACACATTGAATAGTAACACGAATTCTCTTCAATTGAATGCCTTTGTTTGAAGTTTTCATGTGAAGTATTTGTCTTTTCCTATAAAGAATGTAGCATAATTGTGATTTCCTACCAAAATTATAACATAATTGTGTTTATTTAAAGTTTTTTTTTTTTTTTTTTTTTTTTTTTTTTTTTTTTTTTTTTTTTTTTTTTTTTTTTTTTTTTTTTTGTTATATGGATTCTGTTTTTGCCTGGCTTGCAGGTCTGATTCAGTTTAAATGTGTATTTTGAAGCCAGGAACATTTTATGCTTTGCCTCAAAGTCCACAGCTGTTTAAGCAAATGTTGATGGTGTCTGGTTTTGATAAATATTATCAAGTAGCAAGGTACTGACTATTATATCTTAAGCACTATTTCCATTATGTTTTGTCTGGTTTTGACCAACTGACTTGCATCTACTATTATATTATCTCAATCTTCCCACATTTCCCAGTAAATTCGTTTTATGTTTATGCATTCTCTTTCTTCACAACGGAGATGGTATGTATAGAAAGTTTGTGCATAGGTCTAGGTTGATAGATAGTTTCGTTGTTCTTATGAAAATTGGGAGATAAGTTCAATATGTTTTTAACCCTTTTGAGTTGTGAGAATCGGGTGGTTGTTCTAAGTATGTAACATAAATTGTATTTGCACCGTCAGTGTCATTGTGGATTTCTTTGTAGGTGTTTCCGAG